GACTTCTGTCTTACTGTTAGATTAGCATGATCATTTTGGTGAAGTTGATTTTGCATGCGTTAATTCTTAAAAAGGACTTTTTTTTGTGAAATGTGTTTGTTGTTTGTTTGTTTGTTTTATTTTCTTTGACAAAATTTGATTATGGTCATTGCTAAGTTTGCCAGTTTTTACATTATATATTGTATGGATTGTTTTAGTTATGTATAGGTTTCATGATTTATTTGAATCCCCTTGTGCCAGTTATTGCTGAGAACTGAACAAAACTGACTAGATATATTGTATTTAATTGCCTATTAGGGAATCAACAATTACAACAATTTGTTAGTGATAGATGTGTTCATAGGTAGGCCTTTAGGAAACTAGTTTGAACAATTTTGTTTCAAGATTTTTAAGAATGTATATCTTGTATAGAGAATCATGAAATTGTATTGTTTTTTTTTGTTTTTGTTTGTTTGATTAAAGAGACTTAAATGTTGACACTTTACATAGAAGTATCTTGAAGGTATGATATTCAGATGAGCAGTTTTTGAGTAGCCAAAGGTTGAAATGCAAAATCAACAGTGGAGTAATTTAGATCAGTGGGTATTAGTCATTAAAAATATCTTTATGTAAAGTGCCGATGAAACACCATTCATCATAGTGCAGCCTCTTCATAGAGTAGATTGCTATGATTGGTTTATGAAGATTGCCCTTTATAGGAACATCTTTTAAGACTTGTTGAAAGATGTACATATAGGTGAATCAGTAACATAATAGTAAGATATATGTTGCAGCAGAAGACTCAGGATATTGTATAGTGAATATTTAGAATGAAGATCATGTCATCATTAGTTTAAACATGTTATAAGAATTGTGATTTTTTATCACTATCCTGAATTTTATCACTATCCTATCCTGTTTTCTGGATCTTATTCAGATTTGGGTCAAATATATTGTCAGTGATAAGGCTCAGTAAAACAATAGGTGTCATAATAGGCCAAGGACTAACTTCACATACTGAACAAATCCATATTAAAAAAGAAAGAAAGAAAAAAAAAGAAGATGAATTGTCGTATTTCCATGGGCCTTGAGTTAACCCTTGGAAGTACTGCGTGTAGCTAGATGTTTAAGGTAGATGACCATAAGGAGTATCCATTGATGTAAAGAATGGCTGTGATTCAGGGTGGGTGTGGCCGGGTGACTGAGGGCGCGCTGTTGTTATTTCAGTGGTGAGTGGGTCAGCTTCGGATGATTCTGACGCCACAGACAGAGAGGACCCGGCTGCCGCGCGCTCCAAATATAAACCTCAGAAACGCTCATTTCAATTTAAAAAGAAGACGGGAGGCAGGGAAGGCGTGGCAGTGCGCCCCCCAGTGGTTCCCCCACTGCCCCCCACACACCCACCGCCCCACCCTCCTACCTCCCACCCACGCATGGGGCTGGCTGCCACCCCCCACCACAACCCCCTCTCGTACCCAATGGCCGCCCAGCTTCCCCCAGACACCGACTTATTCTCCCCCTCATGTAAGTCATGCTCAGTCTTGCCTGCTTCGTCTGATGGCCTCTCTCTTTCTCTTCCTTTCTCTCTCTCTCTCTTTCTTGCTCTTTTTCTTATCTTTGCTCTGTACACCTCTTGATCTCTTGAATTCCGTCCTGTACTCCCATGTAGTGTAACATCTTACTTGGGTAGACCACTAATATATTTGGAACTAATAACATTTAGAGTGTTGTCAGTCTCCTCAAATGTAAATTTGAGTGTGTGTGTGTATGTATGTATGTATTTATGGCTGTATGGCTGTACAATGCAGTTAATGTAATCAGACATTTTGTAAACAAAAGAAGAAAGAAAGAAAAGTGTCTGTTGCTTAGGAATGGTAATCTTCTAGAAGACATCACATTGATATGAACAGCAGTAGTTTAGGCTATTAGGTAATGGTTTAGAGTAAGATATGCTGTACAGTGGCAGTTTTTCCTTTGGGCTCTAGGTAATAGTGTTAATAATCAGTAAAATGATATTGAGCTGTTGTTTTCAGTATGTGGACTTGCAGTATAGGGACGAGACCCCTTGTAATTATTTTTGTTATGACTTCATATACATAGTATGGTTTTCATTAGTCTTTTTTGCACTATTGCTGTACTTATTATTTATGTCATTATGAATATGGTCATTATTGATATCATTATTGATTATTAGTTACAATACCAAGATAAATAATACTTGGTATACTTCATTAATCCTTTATGATGTTTGATTATTGTTTTATTTCTTATTTTCAGTTAATCATCAATATGAGACTTACCAGATACTTTTCTTATTATGTTGGGTTATCAGTACATTCACTATTAATTCCATAGATGGCAAGATTACCTTCTGTTTATATTTGTTATTATTAATTTGATATGTGTTTGCCTTGTACATGTATATTATTTACCACATAATACTAATGCATGCCTCGTATAGATTTGTTTTTTTAAATAGGCAAGTTATGACTAGCTTTCAGACCCATTTCCATGTCATAACTGAAATACTTAAATATTGTACTCAGAAATGAAGGATGAGGGTTTTCCCTTTTGGTCTTTAGTTGCCTTTCCCTCATCTTTATTTACTTATTACTGCATAAAGTAGGCTACAAATATTTGACAAGATTGGTCGGGTTGTGAAATAGATAAGAGTGATATTAAGCTCAAATGAACTTTATGAACCTCTGTAAATTACAATTTAAAGTGTACATAGCTCTTTCTGTACTTTCTGATAATTTGTTAATGTATATAAATGGTAAAGGAACTAGTTAGCTCATTTTTCACTTAGTCAGTCTCTTTCACAGACTCATTCTCTCTCACATACATTCATCCATTCGCTCACTCACTCACTCACTCACTCACTCACTCACTCACTCACTCACTCACTCACTCACTCACTCACTCACTCACTTACTCACTCAATCAATCTTTCATTCCTTCCACTGGGTTACTTAGGTGTATGGTTTGTACTTGGGAGTATGTGTGCTGTTGTATAAAAAAGGATAAATTATTTTTGGCAGACTTGCGCTATTTAGAGGTTGGAGCATGACTGTAAATGACATCAATACCAACTGTAATTATTGTAGATGGAGGTAATACTCCCGTTTGTTTTTATATAAGCTCTTTCTTCTTACTTTGAAAAAAGTGTAGGTTGGAGTAGCTATCAAAGTCATCTTTCAGTGAAAAAGATGTTGAATTCTTAGCAACTTGTACAAGTAGTATCTTAGTAGTAGAAGTAGTAGTGTAAGTATGCCTAACCAATATTGACACTGGCAGTTTCTGCTTGCAGTCACATAGTGAGTTACGTCAACTTAAACTTTTGCTGCGTGTTCACGTTTGCAAGAGTATTTCCATGGAAATATTTTATGTAAATGTTAGAAGATTAGACGTTTTTTGTTGCATTTTGAAAAATATCCAAGGAATTTGATTTGTGAGCTGTGTTATCCAAGTGCAAGAGTGAAAATAATGTAGAAGGAAGTCACAGTTTTAAAAGACAAGTGTAAAAGATTATATAAAAAGATATTGGTGATAGCTGAGCCAAGAGGGTATTTTAACTTTTTGTGATGTTTCATTTAAGATATTTTCACCTGATTTCTCACTAAAGAGCAAAAATGCACTGATAAGTTGAAAGCATAATATGCATTTGTTGTTGTTGTTGTTGTTAATGCACTTCATATTTCTTTCAATGGGTGGTATGGTTCCATGCATGACTGTTAGTTGTAGCCAGTCTCTGTTTACACCTTGCTTCCAGTTGTAAAACCACTGGAACTCACAGTGCATGGAAGAAATGGGATTGTTATTATGTACAGTCTTGAAGTGTTTCTTTATATTTTATGGAATGAATAAAGTAAATGGCATATATGATTCATAATGTATAAATATATATTTTTTCTTTCTTCCTTTTTCTGACTTTATCCCTCTCTTTCTGCATGGGTACATGACATTTAGGAACCTAATATGTAAACCAGTATTGGGCACTTTACTACCTTCTGGTATTTCAATGTTTGTTGTTGTTGTTTTTTTCTGCATCCCACTATTGTAGTTTAAAAAGAAAATGTTTTAGAGACTCAAAGCCTCAAGTAAGAGACAGGAACCTCAACTTCTGTGTCAGATGAGTGTAAGGTTGCTATTGAGAAGCATGAATTACAGAGTTAAAGAAGATGGTAAGTGGTTTTAAAAGAGAATAAATGAATCTCACAGCTGATGTCATCAATTGTCACACTTTTGAAGGCTTATTTTGCCATACAAATGTTGTGTCACTGAAGGAGTGACCTTGCTTTTATCCATCTTATGCATGTACTTGACACGTTTTTTTTGTTGTTGTTCTGGTGGTGTTGTTGGTAGTACTCCACATTTGTAATGATCAGTTACTACCATACTTTTTACTTTGGATGTTGTGAGAACTAGCACACTCCCTTGAGAGCTCTTGTGATCTCGGCCGGAGGTGTTACTTCCACAGCTTCAGCCAAATGTTGTATCTTCTAGTGTCAGTACTTAACAGTAATGAGTTAGTACTACTTTTGTGTAACCCATTGGAGCATGCTGTAGAATTTCCTTTTTTTTCAAGGAAGACCACAACAATCCACAGATTAAACTTGGTTTGTACAGATGTCAAAAGATTTTTTTTTTCTTTTTGTATTTGTAGATTTGTTCTAGATGCTGGCAATATCATTTTGACCCATATTGTTATTTCTTATCATTATATATCTTACTATTTTTCAAATATGTGTTGTTCAACCAGGAAACCAGGAAATGTATGTCAACCCTTTTTTATTCCTTTTATTCATGAGCAAATATAATTTGCAAAGTATCTTTTTTGTGTGTAAATTTTGATTACATTTTTTTTTTTTTTAATACATTTTTTTTTTCTTGTAATAACTTTGTATTGCCTGTGATGGTGGTAATTTCCTGTTATTTTCCCTGTCATCAATCAGAGTTTTTCTTGGTTTAATCATTGTTACTTTGAAGCAGTAAAGTACAAACATTTTCTGAGTATCTGCATGGAGTATTTAGATGTTATGGAAAGCAGAGTGGACATAGGTGGCATAACATACATGGTATTGTTAACAGTATCATTGTGATGTAGGGTAATATCTTTAAATTAAAGTTTTTTTTTTTGTATGTGAGTATAAGTACAGGTTTGTGTGTGTATGTGTAAGCATTTTGGCATACATGTTTGTGTGCTTCTTTGAATACCATTCTTACGCATTCATGCAGATATACACATGCAAGTGAACATGCACACACACCACACACAGACACCAGACACACATTCATGCCCACATTCCACCACACTACAGTACATGACACAATTTCAATGCACACACACATACGTGTTTATGTGCCTTTATTATTTCCAGTCAGACACATATGCACTTGCATGCATGCACATGCTCACACCCCTCCCTCCCTATCTCTCTCTCTCTCTCTTTCTCTTTCTCTTTCTCTTTCTCTTTCTCTCTCTCTTTCTCTTTCTCTTTCTCTTTCTCTTTCTCTTTCTCTTTCTCTTTCTCTTTCTCTCTCTCTCTCTCTCTCTCTCTCTCTCTCTCTCTCTCTCTCTCTCTCTCTCTCTCTCTCTCTCTCTCTCTCTCTCTCTCTCTTTCCCCCCCACCTATTGTCTTTCTCACTTTGTCATTTTCTTTTTCTTTCCTCTTTCTCCTATTTATCTCACAAATACAAAGAACACATAAGAATATTTGTAGTGCATTTGTATGAAAGTTCATTAATTTTTGTGCTCATATTATGCTTTTATAATTTTTGAGAAAAGTTACATTAGCTTGATTGAATTTTTTTTAGAACATGGTACTTTCTTAATGCATGTGGAAGCTACTTTGGTTTTGCTCAAATACGTAACATTTCTCTTGCAAGTTATTTTATGGTGTTTGGAAGTCACTGTGTTTCAAATATTAAAGTATGCCTGTCATGCAGACTCATTTGAGAGTTAAATCTAACAGTGGAAAAAGTCCAAAGTTGTTCATTTTTGAAGGCTTTTTTTTTTTTTTTTTTTGCTTGTGTTGTTTTCTGCAAATAATAAAAAATAAGAGAAAAAAAAGAGAGAGAGAGGAAAAGTTAATTTTAAAGAGAAGGATAACTAAGATTTATACTATCCCTGACAGTTGCCCCAGGCAAGCTAGAGGGTGACCACATGTACCGCGTAATCCCTGAGGATGACTCCAGCTTAGAGGTGTCTTCCCCAAGGGACCAACAATCTCCGATCCTCCCCCCCGGAGCACCCCAGCGCAAGGAGACGGACAAAACAGCGCGTCGGAAGGTATTGGATGTAGGTTTAGTTAGCAGTCGGAGAGCGTTCAATTCTGATCGTTTATTTGGTGTGATTTAGTTTTGATCAGAGGTAAATTGTAGGTAAGATATGGCTCTCTGATACTGTTTTATTGGAGTATACTGATTTAGATTTTATGTGATGAAATAGCCTTGATAGTAATCGTACTTTACCTTCTGCAACTTCAAACTCGTAATATCATCTCGTTTGATACTAAAAGGTCATTGATAAAATTAATAGTTGAATTAATAGTTATTTGTGGATCCTTTCCAGCAAGAGAAGTTGCGTTCGCGTGAAGAAGCAAGGCAACGTGAAGAAGAGCGTAAACGTGCAAAGGACGAAGAGAAGTTGAAGAAAGCAGCGGAGAAAGAGAAGGTCAGGTGGTTTTATTGTTTAACACTATTTTTTAATTAAAGCCACTTTAGATTTCCCTGATATACATGTCTTGCTTGTATATAAATCCTTTGAGTAGTATGTGACAATTATCTGTTTATATATCCTTTAAGATAAGTGAAGATATATATATATAATAATAATATATATATATATATATATATATATATATATATATATATATATATATATATATATTATAGTATCTATATTATATATGTCTATATATATATCTATTTATATCTATATCATATCTATCTATATCATATCTATCTATATCTATATCTATATCTATCTATATCTATCTATATCTATCTATAGCTATCTATAGCTATCTATATCTATATCTATCTATATCTATCTATATCTCTATCTATCTCTATCTATCTCTATCTATATCTATCTATATCTATATCTATATCTATCTATATCTATATCTATTCTATATCTATATCTATCTATATCTCTATCTATCTATATATCTATCTATATATCTATCTATATATTCCTACTATATATCTATCTATATATCTATCTATATTCTATCTATATATCTTATATATAATATCTATATATCTATATATTCTATACGATCTATATCTATATCTATATCTATATCTATATCTATATCTATATCTATATCTATATCTATATCTATATCTATATATATATATATATATATATATATATGCAGAAACTTAATGATAGTTTTGAGCATGTATATTTTCATCATTACAGGAAAGAGAGAAGAAGAAAGCAGCCAAGGGGTCCTCCAAGAGTGCAGCCAAGGGACCTCCTCAGCCGACCCTGGAGGACTTTGTCCAGAATGCAGAGCGACCGGTGCCACTCTTCCTTGAGAAGTGTGTGGCATTCATAGAAGTTGAGGGACTCGATTCTGAGGGAATTTATCGTGTTCCTGGCAACAAGGTCCATGTGGAGCAGCTCACCACAAAGTTCAAAGAAGGTAAGTTAGAGTAAAGGTTTGATCTCTTTTTTTGTGTGTGTGTTTGTTTTCTTTGTATCAGTTGAAGGTATAGTTATGATAAGGAAAGAAAAGAGCTATATTTTACTTTCTAAAATAAATGGACTCATATGCTGCCTTTTTCCTCATTTATAGACAGCAGCGTGAACTTTGCTGAGCTAGACATTCCAGTAAATGCTGCTGCTACAGCTCTGAAAGACTACCTGAAACAGTTGCCACCATTACTGCCACAGAACCAGCTCCTTGAGCTGACTACAATTGCTAGTAAGTATCTGATACACAAACTTTTAACTTTTTTCCCCTCCATTACCCTTTCCTTTTCCCTTCCTGTTTCCTTTTCTTACTCTCTCTAACTTGTATTTCCCTCATTTGTGAATCTTACATTTAGAAGAGGTCATAGTCAGATTCTTAGCTGTTGTTGTTGTGGTTAAATCAGAATCAAGAGGACTTTCGTCATAAATAGTTTCTCTGACGTACCAAGCCAAGACGTTTGTTCATCTTATTGGCTCACTGTGAATTGGTCAGATGTTCAAAGATTAGCAGACTATAGGGATGGTTCAGATATTTGTATTTACTTTTGTTGTTATTAGGGAGAAAAAACGCAAATAGGCTGCTCTCTATGGCAGTTCGGAAAAATGTAAAATTGTTAACCATTAATTCAGCTTCTTTTTTATTTGAAGTGGACTATGAAGACAGTTGGTACTTTCTTGATATTGGTGTATTGTTAAAATATTAAAGGTTTGGTTATGGCTAGGAAGAATGTGATGTGACCCGAACTTCCCTGTCCTTCACTAATTCATGTCTCTTACCAGAACAAGTCAACAGATGCATGAATATAACCGCTTTATCAAGTGTTATTTTAAGTTTTGCTTCTTCATCTCTTTACTTATTTTCTAACTTTTATTCATTTGTGTTTTGTAGCAAATTATGTAAAGGTTTCCTTCATTTCAAGAAATGCAGATAAACTAAATGCTTGTAGTTCTTGTCTTAGCCTTTAAAGCTTTTTCTCTCAGCTGTGTAAACAAAGGCTTCTGGAATCATTTTCATTAACCTTTTATTTGTTTACCCATTTCATCTTTTGCTCACCTAGCAAGATCCTCTCTGATTTCCTGAACTTTGTATCTCTCAGCTGTCGTAAAAGTTTACTCCCCATTACTACTTGCCTTACTTTTCCATAGTCTTAATGATTGATGATATATATTGTTATATGAAAATAGTCAAATTAAAAGAAGTGAGTATATGAAGTGAAGAAGTATTAGAGAGGAAAAAAGAAAGAGAAAGAAAGAAAGCATGCCATGTTATGCTAATTTTTGTTACTGTTGTCATTGTTATTATATATATTTTTCAATGATTTCTAAGCAAGGCTGTTCTCTGTTTTTAAGTTCAGACATGTTTATGTTAGCATAGAGGTCTAATGTTCTTGTCACAAAATTAATCGAAGGGTGACTACTCTTGTATCTATTGGTACAGGCATTGGTGACCGCAGTCTAAGACTTTTGAGGCTGAAGGAGATGCTAACAGGCCTCCCTTCAGTCAACTTCGAGGTTTTGAAGTTCATTTTCCAGCACTTTGTCAGGTATGTGGCCCTTGGATATTTGTAGGTGTTTGTATATTTTTGCTATTGGGTTTAGATTATTTCATAATTATTATTATATATTTTTTTATATTAATATTACAGCCTTCACTAATGTAATCAAAGGAATGATTCATTACTCTTCAATGAATTGTTGTAAAGATAGACTTTTTTTTTATGGATATCAAAGTATATTTCATGTTTCATAATATTGTTAAATACAGATACTCTCTTGCTAATGTCCCAGCACAGGTCAGTTTCAGCCTGTTTATATGATAATGTTATATAAATTCTAACTGTGTTTTGATATTGTACTTACATTGAATCCAAAATAATAGAGGAATTTACCTGTTCTTACTTTTTCATTATGTTTATATGAGAAATATATATGAATATATGTTCTTAGGGCTTATTGTGATATATGACCATTTTTCTATTTGTGTTTTTCAGAGTTGCTGAAAACTGTAAATTGAACTCCATGGATAGTAAAAACCTTGCCATCTGCTGGTGGCCAACATTGTTACACACACTGCAGTTTACAGACATCAGTGAATTTGAATCTCAGCGTCCGCACATCGAAGATATAATTCAAACTATGATTGACCAATTTCCTTTCCTATTCCAAGGAAAAGAGGATTATGTCATGGTCTGATATTAACCAGCGTTTTCCTGGTAAACATAACTTCATTTGTTTACATTCAGCTGTGCTTTGGTCTGACAAATCAAAGTGTGGCTCTTGATAAACAAAAAAGGTTATGTTTAGCATGAAAACTTGACCCTAACTCCCCGCAGCCTCTGTTGCTGCATGTCATTTTCCCATGAGCCAGGAGTGGTAGTGCCACATTTGCCTCTGTGTGGCATTTTCTGATCACCATGGCTCCTTCTGGTTGCTAACTTAGACGCTAACAGCCACAACTTGATGGGGCAATGCTTCATGACAACAGAAACCTGGGTACTTATCCCACAGTGGCAAGTGTAATGAACTACATGCCACTGTGGCAGTGTTAGGAGCATTAAGTCAATGTTGTGGCTCAGTGTTACTGTTGGCTGCCCTGAACTATATGCCAGTTCAGAAAGTGATCAGTATCCTATTATCTAAGACACACAAGTAGTGTGTGCTGTGTATCATAGAAATGACAACCAAAGAAAATTATCTTCCAATTTAGTGGAATGATAAATATGATTGTGATTAAATCAAGCAAACTAGATGAATATTAAAAATAAAAAACAAAAAAAAAGTGTCAAATTGTTGTATCAGCAATATTGACTGTAGATATAAACTTGAGTCACCTTTCCATTAAAATAAGTCTCTTTTACTCTGCCAGAAGAAAACCACAGAAGTTCTGTATGCAGATGAAGGTTATTATGATCATAGTTTACCAAATCTGACGAATGAATGTCTGTAGTGAGTGTTGTCAGGCCAGCATTGAAACAGTATTTTCCCTCTGGGATTTTGAGAGAGAGAGAGAGAGAAAGAGAAAAAAAAAAACTTGTAGAACTAAATGATGAAAGGAATAAAATACATTTTATAGTAGAAAAACTATTTCAGGATTTTAGTGTTATGATAAACTAACATTGGATTGTTGACAAATGTAAATTAATGCAGCTTACAGACTGTTAAATGGTGAGTACTCTTCTCATGAGCGTAGCATACGAGTACTTATGGATAGCATAAGAGGTAGCCTAATGCCAGGCTGGAACTCATGAGTTACAGCCAGAGCTTTTAGTCACAGATTAAGCTCATGTTCCATGTTGTGTCTCCAGTACCAGACAAGATGCCAGTACCTATGTGGTATCTGACATTCCAGCCTGTCACACAGTTATCGAGTGCCATCATGTAGATTTGATCATTTTCAAAAGACTTGATTAACAGTTTAAAATAGATTGTTTTTATTGGGGTAAAGTTTAACCTGCAGCCTGGTGCTTTCTGAGCAGAGTCCAGCACATACAAGGGAGTGAAAGTTCTTGCCCTGCCACAGTTGGTGCCACAGAGGAAGGGTTCCATCATGTCAGTACTTGGTAGATGGAGCAGCATCTTCTAATGGCAGTGGCACGTGTTCCCTGGGAAGACATTTCCCTCGCCGAATTGTGTGTCGCTTCCCGGGAGGACTGTCACTCAGCACACAATGTCTGGTGCCTCTCAGGGAGAAGTTTTGCCTCCCTGGTTATATCAGGTACCCCCAGCCCCTCCCATCTACCCTTCCCCACTTCCCCTAGAGAAAGCTAGAATTCCAACCCCAATCCGCTGGAATCATTAAGGGTAACCCGTGGAGAGTTGCACTTGTCAGGCAGTGTCAGATGATCCCTAAGGGAGTTGCAGTGCAGTTCAGTTTAAGGAAAGAATAATCTTGGTGGTGGTGTCTGGTGCTTTTATTATATCCAGTCACCTGGCACTCTGGAGGTGCCCCCTTAGGAGCATCATCTCACCAAATTACTGGCATTGTCGTGTGAAGTGATCCCTCCTGTGGATTTTCCAGTCCTTCCTGGGTAAAGTCCCAGCTCCCTGGCAGTGTGCATCACTCTCAGGACAGTGTGGGTGGAGTCCCATAGTCACATGTATTTACCTGCTGTGACAGGAGCTCACATATCAAATTGTTGAGTCTGGTGGCGTTAAGCATTCCAGTGTACAGCAGTGCTGCTTCTCACTTGTGGATCATCATTTAAACGTTCTCATAACGTTAGCATCCTGCCAAGTTATATCAGCATTTGCGAGGGGAATCACTTTGTAACCTCATTTTCATTGCACAAGCACATCATCGAGTTGTGTCTGTGTACCTCCAGTGTTGCTACTGTAAAAGAGATTGATATTTTGATTATTGTCTAGTGATCTGGCTGGTCGTTATAATACATTTACTCTATTCAAATTTAGGAAATCAATTTTTTTATATATATATATATTTCCTGTTCTGTCCTAGGTTTTAAGTCATTCTTAAGCATTAGCCATAGGTTTGTTCACATCATAGTTTTTATTTCTATGAACTCTATATACAAAGATGTGTTCTCAAATTGACCAAAAAATGCTTTGTTTAAATATGTACAATAAGTGACTCATTGTGTGGGGTCAGTATGAACTGACATTATTACCTGTATGAATGATAGTGCCATAGTGTGCGGCAAGGACAGCAAACAGTGCCAACGCCATTGTCGACGTTCTGTCTCATTGTCTTGCTAGTTGCTCCCTGTTCTTTATTTTGTTACTTTGCCTTGTTTAGTGTTAGCCACGTGGCTGCCAAGTGGTACTATGTGTGAACTTAGCGCTATTCTGTGTCATGCAGCGTCGAGTGGTGGCAGGAGCAAGAACAAGATGAGACAAGGGCAATGATCCCCCACAAATATCAGCACAAATTACAAAGAGTTTCTCCAGGAAGTAAGCTTCCAAATTAGCTGGTGCCAGCTTCCCAGCACCACAGTTGGGTGCCAGATGTACAGCCTATTGCATAATATCTTCCTTGCCTTGTTTTTTTGTAGTCAAGCAGATATAATGATTTCATGTTGAAAGAAAATTAATATTTATTGTACTGATATGACTAAGGAAATTCATTTTGAATCAGTAATGAGGATTTTTCTTTTTGGCAGTTTTACTGCTGATAAGTGATTGCTATGTATAGATGTGTATGGACTCAAGTTGTCATTTGGGCAGTTTTGTAAATTACAAATTTTCCAAGAAAGTTTTTATTTGAGTTTCATGCAGTTCATAAGATCAGTGAAGGTCACTTCATGTGGTATGGTTTATTACTTTTCCTTCTGTTTTATATTGATTTTATTATAGTTTTTAAAACCTAACTACCTGCATATATATTTTTTTTAACATGAGTGTAGGGACTGGTTATATTATGTAACTTAAACAGCAAATGCTAGTCAACATGCCCTGCCCACTCGACAGCATCATGTAAATTTATTAATGTATTGCACTACATATTCTTGAATTCATTGTATAAAGTCTTACAGCTATACAGACTTGTACAGCATATGTGACGAGTGAGAGATTCCATGTACAGTGGACAGTGAAAGGAGTTTTGAGGGTAGTATACTATATAATGCATATTTGGATTAGTATACTACTAACTATGAATAAAAGGCATTTGCATTTGACATTTGTTTTATTGCAACATTGATGGTTAAAGTTGGAGCATAAGAGATGTTTTGCCAAGATAAATGTAATTAAAACATTCAATGAAAATTCTTTTTAATGGTCACCTCTAAATGTTATTGCCATGGTAAAAACAAAACACATTTGAGCATGACTCTCTGCAATGTGTTATTGAAAATATTCCTAGTTGTCAGAATACATAATACAGAAGAAACAGTGATGGAAAGATCCTTCTGGTAAAGTTTCTGGTAATGGCATACATTTTATATATAAAAAATTACAAGGCATGGTAAATTATTTCCGATTTTAAGAAATAAGAAATGAATCAGGTTAGTGCTATATCCTTTAAGGACTACTTCATATACATAAAAGAGACATGCTATTTGTTTCTAGCTGACAATTTACACACAACATATGATAGAAAATGAAGTCATATAAAATAGCTTATAAAAGAAAAGGGTGTAAATAAGGCAATGATAAAGCACAATCACATGCAGTGTCTTTAGATAGATTTGGCGGCAACCCAAAAATTAGCTGTTTTCTGGAGTTTGTAGTAAACAAATGCACAGATTAGTGATGTGCTCCTTTGTGCCAACACTTGAGTGTGTTACTTTTAATTAGACTTAGCACTGACAGTATAGATAGTTACTTTATACTAAATGATCACACTAACAATAGATGCCATGACCTTGCTTATAATTTAAATGAGTAAACAAGCAAGCATTTCAAATTTTAGAAATCCATTTTACTTATGGATTTACTATAGGAAGACTTGCAATGAACATGAGGATTCTGCTTTTTTTTTTTTTTTTTTTTTTACTAAACACATACATGCACACACTCACTATCACTAGAACTCGCCCACTCTCTAACATAACACTCCACAACACAACACTCCACAACACAACACTCCACTCCACAACACTCCACTCTCTCTCTTTACTCTTTTCCTCTCTATCTTAATCTCTTTCTCACTATGTAAGGCTTATATAAGGACCTCTAAACATTGGTGACAGGGAGTAGTAAAAGCTTTGTGGCTTAAATCTCTTTTATTGATAAGAGCTAGCACACGTAGTTGTTAACACAAGGATGACACTTGGGTATCGTGCGGTCAGCTGGAAGGGGACGGTCAGCCCTGACCTGAGCCGGACAGGCTGCCGACCTTGGGTCAGCCAGCAGCAGGAACACTCTCGTCTGACAGGGTCATCCTTGGAGAATAAGTAGCGGCGACCACCGGAAGCAGGGGCGGAGCCACAGAGGCGTGGCTAAAGAAACTGCCAGTGCCCGACCTTTACGTGGGCGTGGCCGCCTGCAGCGGGCCCCCTGGGCCTGGGGACACTAGTCATTTTTCCCTTTGCCTTGCCCAGGGGCGTGGCCGCCTGCAGCGGGCCTCCAGGGCCTGGGGCTGACCTCTCTCTGCAGCTGAGGGTCAGGTCAGCGGCAGATGTTCCTATGAATATCACACACTATCTCACTCCATTCCACAACACAACACAACACTCCACAACACTCCACAACACAACACTCCACAACACTCCACAACACTCCAATCCACAATACTCCACAACACTCCAATCCACAACACTCCACAACACTCCACAACACTCCAATCCACAACACTCCACAACACTCCACTCCACTCCACAACACTCCAATCCACTCCACTCCACAACACTCCAATCCACTCCACTCCACAACACTCCAATCCACAACACTCCAATCCACAACACTCCAATCCACTCCACTCCACAACACTCCACTCCAATCCACTCCACTCCACAACACTCCAATCCACTCCACTCCACAACACTCCAATCCACTCCACTCCACAACACTCCAATCCACAACACTCCACAACACTCCAATCCACAACACTCCAATCCACTCCACTCCACAACACTCCAATCCACTCCACTCCACAACACTCCAATCCACTCCACTCCACAACACTCCAATCCACTCCACTCCACAACACTCCAATCCACTCCACAACACTCCAATCCACTCCACTCCACAACACTCCAATCCACTCCACTCCACAACACTCCAATCCACTCCAATCCACAACACTCCAATCCACTCCACTCCACAACACTCCAATCCACTCCACTCCACAACACTCCAATCCACTCCACTCCACAACACTCCAATCCACTCCACTCCACAACACTCCAATCCACTCCACTCCACAACACTCCAATCCACTCCACTCCACAACACTCCAATCCACTCCACTCCACAACACTCCAATCCACTCCACTCCACAACACTCCAATCCACTCCACTCCACAACACTCCAATCCACTCCACTCCACAACACTCCAATCCACTCCACTCCACAACACTCCAATCCACTCCACTCCACAACACTCCAATCCACTCCACTCCACAACACTCCAATCCACTCCACTCCACAACACTCCAATCCACTCCACTCCACAACACTCCAATCCACTCCACTCCACAACACTCCAATCCACTCCACAACACTCCAATCCACTCCACAACACTCCAATCCACTCCACTCCACAACACTCCAATCCACTCCACTCCACAACACTCCAATCCACTCCACTCCAATCCACTCCACTCCACAACACTCCAATCCACAACACTCCAATCCACAACACTCCAATCCACTCCACTCCAATCCACTCCACTCCACAACACTCCAATCCACTCCACTCCACAACACTCCACTCCACTCCACAACACTTCAATCCACTCCACAACACTCCAATCCACTCCACAACACTCCAATCCACTCCACAACACTCCACTCCACAACACTCCAATCCACTCCACTCCAATCCACTCCACAACACTCCAATCCAATCCATTCCACAACACTCCAATCCACTCCACTCCACAACACTCCAATCCACTCCACAACACTCCAATCCAATCCATTCCACAACACTCCAATCCATTCCACAACACTCCAATCCACTCCACAACACTCCAAGGGGAAGTTGACGGTTACAGGCAGTCGTACGTTCGTCTCTTTGTTTCCTTGTTCCTTATATACAAACTTTATGGAAGACAGCCTACGGAACATATATTTTTTATTCTATTATTTATTATATACACTTTATGGAAGACAGTGTATATTAAGTCATAACTTTTTTAACCTTTTTATATTGTGTACATATAATTATTTTATAATACTAGCTTATTTTAGTGGTTCTAGGTAACACTTATAATATAAATAGTTACACAGGATACACATAGGTCATGTTATCATTTCTGGCCTCTCCTCTGATAGGATATCGTAAAAGTGTTTTATTTTTAAATTTATTAGAGGCAACATTTTGATTTAGAAGATTTTTGAAGTTGAATGGTGCCCACACCCTGTAGGTTCTCTGGGGAAGCCCGTACAGCGATACAGGATGTATAGATCCCCGTCTCTCGTTCCACCTTCTCTGCCTTGAATACTGTATACCCTCCCTCTCAAATTTCTGAGATGGGCACAGCCGATGGTACCAGCGCTTGGACAATCTGCCATCCGATTCTATCTGAAATTGGACATGGATAGGGTTACAATGATATTTACTAATAGATGTTTTGGGTAATGGGGTGGGAATATAAAAGGATAAATTTGTAGTCATGTCTCTCTATAGGAATGAGTATAGAACCGGATGACTAGAGTTGTGTCCATCTCAACTGCACAGTGTTGTTTTAAGTCTGGCATATCTGGTCTCTTTATGATATCCATAAATGTAGGTGGTTGAATTTGTTCTCGGATCTACCCAGTCATATGCTTTTCCCAAGGAAACAGAGAGACGAACGTACGACCGCCTGTAACCGTCAACTTCCCCTGAGCAAAATCTCTTAGCTTCCCCATCCGCTTTTCTTAGCCAATATATTCCTTAACTTCTACATCCACTTCCCTTGTACACATTTGCAATATAGCTTCCTCTACAGAAATACATACGCAATTGACCTCTCTCTATGTTCCCTGCTCTTCATTTAGATTTCCACTGGTCAGTTCTAGACCACTTTCCAGTTCTCCTTTCTCCTACTTCCTCTGTGTCTCTTCCTACCCCCCCACGCTGGTGCTTTGATAGAGCTGACAGGCATACTTTCACCTCCCTCTCTACCCCCCCAATCCCTTGCCCGTTGTTGTCGTGGGGGGCTTAGGAGGCGGAGACTGGGACCCAATGATGGGGAACTCCCAACCTT